TCACCACCATCCACCCATGCTACATCAACCTGTACCTATCAGCAGTTAGCGGTGACCCAGCGGCGTACCTTTAGGTCCCTCCTCTCCAGGTGGATGAGCTCAGCTCCACGGACGTCGTGACCAATAAAGATGTCTTTATACTCAGTGAGACACAGAAAGTCCAGCCATGCCCCCACCTCTTCTGTCCCCCACTGGTGAACTGAGACATCAACAGGAAGTGGTTCAGACAGACAGAAAACACCACAAACAGTGATTTCATAAAATGCCATGACTACAGTATCCTCTGAATTTAACCCCACAGAGACAGGTGTTACCTGGCAGAGAGAACGTGGCGCACGTTTCTTTGTTCTTGTTGTTCTTCTCCTTCTTGAACTTTGGGACGAGGCGGAACTTGGCGCCCCGACTGCGCTTTGAAAAATCTGTCAGTGGACCCTGAGAGACAGAAGGGCAGAAATGTTAAATGTTTCCACGCTTCCTGGGTCGGTGCTTTTCATATCACCGCCCAAACACCTGGAGGCGGTTTGGTTAGGTGATGCACTGGGTGTTTCTTCATCGACCTCTCTGCACTGAAGGCTTTTTATTGAAAGAGGTTTTGTACAATCACAAACAACAAGTTAAACATACTAGCAGTACAGCACACTGCTAGAAAAACAAAAACAAGGGTTAGGGGTTAGAGCGGTGGCCCCAGGTTGCTCTGCCTCCATCTCTATGTTGCCTGGATTGTATTTATTATTTTAAACATCATCCTTTGTGCTGCATGTTCGATTGTACTGTTTTATATTATTGTGAAGCACTTTGTGGTTTTATGCTGTGAAGAGTGCTGTATAAAGTAAAGTAATCACCTCATGGTCTGATGGGTCGATGACTGGACACAACCAGGGAACATCAGCCAGGCGGGGGAGCTGCTGAGCCACAGAACTCAGAGCTGCATTCAGCTGCTCCTGCTGAGGAGGATCCAGCTGCTGCACAGACAGACACAACGTTAGGACCACGAGGACCAGGCTGAACCTGTCAACCTGCATCCTGTAACAGATACAGACAGAGCCTGAGGTTTCTAACATTCTGGGATAAAGTAAAGGACCAGTTACCATGGACATCTTTCCAGACAGGAGAAGTTCAGTCTCACTGACTAAAGCTTTGATGTTGCTGACCATCTGAATGACCACGCTGCAGCTCAGAGCCTGTAGACAAACAGTGATACGTTACACAGCTGGAGGCTCAAGGACTGAACGATAGAAAAGGTAAGAGCAGCTGTCGCACCCTGGAGCTCTTGGAGTCGGCGTAGACTACGTCCATGGCCTTTGAACTGGCGTTGACGGCGTGAGCCAGTTCCTGCTCCATGCTCTGGTGAGACTGAGCGACCTCACGGATGCTGAAACGCCACAAACACATTCTCACAACAAGAACACAGAATCAGACCAAATCCATCTGTTTGAGCTGCGGTAGGACGACCAAAGGATTCAGTTCCTGCTGTGAGGCGGCGGTT